TATTTTAAGGGTTATTATAAATTATTGCAGGTGTTTTTAATATTATTTTATCATTATATTTTCATTCTGTAACAACACATTCATCTACCAAAAAATCTGATTTCACAAATTTTAAAGAACCAGTTCAAGAAATACCTGATTCGAATAGGGAAGAGGAGATGTTAGATGATCCTATGGAGATTGATTTTGTAAAAAAGGAAGAACCCAATACAAGTATTGCAACTATACCAGTTAAAATCAAACGTTTAAAAATCCCAGCAATGGTAATTGATAGTGGAGCTGAACTTGCAATTATATCAGAAGATATTGTTAAACGTGTAGGTGGAAAGATTGATAAATCAGAAATATATGATCTCAGTGAGGCTGCCACCGTTCCAACAGAATCTATTGGCATTACCTGTAAATTACCAATAACATTTCCTTCAGGTTTTACCATACGTGAGGATTATATAGTTATAAGAACTCCGAAACCAATATTATTATTTCCAAATCCACACCTTAAAAAATACAAATGCGCTATGAATTGGAACAAAGATGAGTTAAAAATTTTTTTTAATGGAAAAGATCATATCATCCCTGTAACTATGATCAAGGTTAAGAATAAGTTCAAAGTAAATTGCGCTACTACAACTCAAGATGATAAGTCTTCGACATCTGATCAAATTTTACAGGAGACCGATGGGAATGAGGATGACAATGTACCATTTGACGAGTGGTGCGCTCCTGCAGGTTTTAGCTTAGATTCTGCCAATCTGACTTTAAAAAAAAAACACATGAGCTATGAGGAACTGGAAAAATCGCTATATGAAGTACTTGAATCTAGGTTTAAATTAATTGAACTCAATAAAAAATTGTGACTTCATAGAAATAAACCTGAAGACTTTTATGAGAAGGTTGTCAATACTGATATAGAAAAGGTGAAGATAGATTAGTTGAGATTTAAAAATCTTTCAGACTTGCGTTTGGCTTCTTCTGCTTCTCTGCATTCACATTCGATTATAGCATACATGCCATCTTCTCCTCTTACTTTTTTTGTCAGTTTATTGACCGTGTCAACCCCATTGATAACATGTGCCTTGGCACTAGCTCCGCTATTAGGTAAGTCAGAAATTTGAACAGATTTAGATCTCAGTTTTTTATTTTTAACCCACTTATCAGAAGTAACATTAGAATCTAGATATAGGTTTGAAGAACCATGATCCTTGTTAATTTGATGCATTTCAAATGCTGAAGTCTGACCATTAGAATTTTCAGCTACACTAGCTTAATCAATATTTGGTAAGTACGATTCAGGTATAGATAAATCCTGATTTAGAGGTGCTATTGAAGAAACTGAGCTTCGAGTCTTCGACTCATTTGATACAGGCCGATACCATTCTATTATACCAACTTCTTGCCTTCTCCAAATTCTATAAAAACGGTCATTCGTCATAAGGTATTTTTTTCTTAATTCCTTTAAAACCTTAGTTTTGAATTTTGCATCATGATATTACATAATAAATTTATAATCTTCTGATGATAATGGAACTGCATCAGATTGCATACGTTTAACCATGTTAATATTTTTGCTTTGTAGAAATATAGTACCTATAATATCTATAATATATTTTTTTAATTATTTATACTATGTATAGTATCCACAATTAGTATGTATAGTACATATAGTATTTATAATATGGATAACTAGTACAGGTAGTATGTATAATACATATAGTACATAAAGTACACTTAGTATACATAGTACACATAGTACGTAAAGTACACCTAGTATACATAGTACATAAAGTATATGTAGTGCACATAGTACATGAAGTATGTATAGTACATATCTTGCACAATTTATTTATAATTTTTTATTATATATATATTTATTGCTAATGTACATAGATGAGAGAATGGAACCTTGAGAAAGAAATACATCGTATTCTCCAATTATTTTCTAAATTGTGTGAATATAATAGTAAGTTGCAGGGTAAATGTATTAAGTAAGAGCAAGATTTTAATCGAGAAAGGGAAAGTTGAGATCGAGAGAGAAACAAGTTGAGTCAGAAACTAGGAGCTAACACTGAGATCCAGAAATTACACAATCATGTCTTGGAACTCATTGACGAGATTAAACATCTACAGATTGAAAAAACCCACCAAGATATTTCTCACGCAGAGTCTATAGCTAAGAATACTACAAAAACAGAAGAGATTAAATTACTTTGAAACAAGATGAAATTATTAAAAGGTAAGTTAGCTTTATCCCAGAAGGACTCATTAAATAAAGGGTCTGAAATCGAATCTCTCAAATCTAAGATAGTTGAATTGGCTTTGAAAGTTAGTGAGCTGGAATGTTTGAAATCTGAAGATGTATTGGAATCCATTGTTGGTGGGGATAACGAAAAAAATATATCCAAGCCGAATAATGGCTTTTTAATTAATAAAGATAATAAAAGTTTCAGGTCATATCTAGCATGCAGAAAAAGTATGGATGAGAGTGAAAAAATCAATAATAACGGAGTTAGTGCTAAAGCACATATTGTACCAGTTCATGATGAACTAGTACCTGATATATCACCCAATACACCTCCAGTAGATACGTATATAAGCTCTGACGTATCATCAAGTATATCTAAGAGTGTGACGCCATATCTTACACAACAGAAGAATAGTACTCCCTCTTTGGTTGAATCACATCCTCAGATTTTGATAGGAGGGATAGAAGAGATGAGACCTAATCTCGAGGCTTTGCCTCTTCCAGTTGTAGCAAGTAGTTTGGTGACATCTCTATTAGTATGTATACTACTTACCTTGTTGATGTTTGTGATTATCTAGTTCGTGAAATTGAGACGCACATGGGGCATAGGTAAAAAAAATGAGCGGTTGCGGGATATGTAGATCAGATAACTGAGACTATCTATTTGAACTTGGATATTATTTATGTACGAAAAATATAATAGTTTTTAATCATGTCTAGTATTTGTTGTAGTTGTAAGGAAATATCGTCACCGTTGTATACAGATTGCATTATTACACATTCCTTTATAGTGGTAGGGATGAGATTTCGTGGTGGACATAAGTTTAAGAAATCAGATATTATTACTCTTGAACTGGAGCCTTCTAATACATATGATAAGAATGCGATAAAAGTTATAGTAAATGGTATTTATAAAGCCTATGTGGCAAAGAGTGAGAATGTAAGTATAGGGGATTTGATGAAACAATATTCAAATTATCAGATTACCACTCATGGGAAAAAGAACTATAATCAATTAGCGTCTTTAAACCTCGAATACCCTTGGATGGTCTGTGAGAAATGTTGTGATACACTACAAGCATCAAGAGATTATGACTATAGTTATTGGTGAATCTATTTATTTGAACTTCGGAATTATTTATATACAAAAAAATAATCTTAACATTTATAATGTATAAGTATCTTAGTAGAGTCTGATAATTCTAATCAAGAATACTTAACAATATAGGTCAATGATTTCATCGATGTCAAGTGAATCATCTTTTTTACTTTTCTGCATAATTGATAGTGCTTAAAGACGTGCAAACTCAAGACCAATTACCTTGTACTATGTATTTCAGAAATTTATTAATACTTCATACTCTGATTTCAGATTATATCAAAATATATATTGTTCCAAAATTGTAATATCGGGTTTACATTTCTGTACTTGCATAATTAATCCGTATAACCTATTTCTATATTTTATATTGAGCTTAGATAATTTTGAAAGTAGATCTGATAACTTTAAACAAATAGAATCTGCAATTTTATCTAACACATTAAGGTAGTCATTATACCCCGTAGAGATACCTGAAGATCTGGTTATGCCAACTTTGCTAATACTGGGACATATTTTTTGAGCGTGGGTAGTAGCATCTTTCCATAAATGGGAGATAATAGTTTCATCTTTTTTCAGAACATCACATAAGTTCTTAATATAATTTTTAAGCCATTTTTAGCCAATTTCTGTAATTCTACATCTTTGATATTTGCTATTTCATCTTCATCTAGACTTAGAGAGTCATTGCTTTACAATGAATCCTTAATATTTTTCGATTTCTTCTCCTTTGATTTCTTTTTATGATCCAAGGCTTTTGCCAGAGATTCAGGTGATAGTTGGTATTTATCATCATAATTTATAAAACGGGCACAAAGAGCAAATAAACTCTCGGTATAATAATCAATATTTATTTTCTTGTTAAACCTTTTTACCACATCTGGATATTCCATACAGTCTTCTTTTTTCTGTGATATTTTTTTTCCGCAATTATCATAAATCTCTTTAGGTACTACTACAATGTAACTAAATTATTCACCGAGTTTAGGAACTTTATATAAATACTCATTAACGGGTAAACCCTTCTTTATAAGCTGTTGATTCTTCAATATCTTGTGACCATATCTAGTCCCCATCTGTGAAACAAACCTTTCTACAGAAATATTTTCCTGCTTACCTTCCTTTTAAGTCTCTATATACATGTCTGAATAAATTCATCATAATCTAACTTGAAAAGTTTTTCTACATTTTCCCAAAGAACTTTTTCAACAATCTGATGAATCGTTTCCCCATTATCAATTTTCAAAGTTCTATTCATAATTTCCTTATCTACATCATGGAAGAGCTTAGATTGACCTCTTTTTATGATATCCACCTCTTTAATAAAAAGTTCACCTAAATTGAAATTTGGCTTCTTTTTATGCTCAAGACCATAGTATTTTTTCTTTCCTGTAAATACTACAGGAAATAAGACCTCCTCATATGTCATATTAAGATAAGGTATTCCATTGTCCTTTTCAAGCTCTGTATTTACTTCATTACAGAGGTTTGCCATTACTTTTATAGAGATTTTTACCATTTTCTCCTAGTACTTTTCTTGTGAGAATTGATCTAATTTATATTTTCGATCACACTCCTAAAAACACTCTTCTGGACATGTGAGATATAAAGAATTGGTATCTCCATATTTAATGCCAAATCCTTTATCTTCAATAAATTTTCTAACAAATTTAATATTATGTTATCTAGCGGAAGTAACTCCACCCGCTAACTGAAGTTGATAGAATAGAGAGAGATTATTACCTGTTTCACCATAAAATGTATTTATATATAATTTTATCACCTTTTATTTTGAGTCTAAGCAACTATATTCAAAACTTTTCTCATCCAATTCATTGAGGTATTTTTTTATCTTCTTTCGTTTATTAAATAGATTTTCCAACACCCTAACATATAAACTATTTTCTTCATGTATATTATTATGGCAATAGACCAAGCTTCTATAGTCTGACCATTAAATGAAAACTCAATCTTGTGAAGGTTTCTTTCCACTACGTAGTGCATTTATCACCTCTCCACGAGATAGTATAATCTTATCAGGTGAGAGGTTATAAGTTATCATAAGACTTGAATATAGGGAAGCAAAATCTAAGCCTGTTACTG